GTTGAGGTTTTAATCTTTATTTACCATCAGGTTAATTTCAGGCTGGTGTTGGATTCATCATTTTTTACCAGGTTTTGTACATATGTACAGTATCTACCATCTAAAATGCTACATGCTAAAATCTAATGCTATGTGTTGATGTGAAGATAATCAGTTGTGATTAGTGTTTCAAATCACAACAGACATAAAATGACACGTATCATTAATCATCATTAATAAATGTTAATTGACATTTTCTACAAACCTGTTTTAAGCCTCAGTCCAACCTCCAGGCCTCAGAGTGAAACCGTGAGCCCAGGCAAAGTAGCTGGGAGTGTATAAATAACATCAGTGACATTGACACCTGCTCCGTGTGTGTGTGTGTTTGCAGCTTTTTATGGAAACACAAAGCTAAAATTAAAACAAACAGCAGAAGCCGAACCAATGAAACTCAAACCCTGTGATGACCTTAAAACACACTCACACACACACACACACACACACACACACGTACAGTATCTCCAAACATGTCTCTGTTTTACAGGCTTTTTCCAACAGAGTTATTTTTGTGAACCGTCAATAACGTGACATCAGCAGCGTTTGTTGTTGATCTTCTGCTTCCATCAGTAAGGTAGATATACATTATTCTGACTTAATTTCCTGTAGTGAAATAAACTGACCACACGAGGCAGCACTGAGCCCACAATCACTGGCCTTGTCTATTATTTGGTCCTGTAGGAGTTAAAGGTAAATAAACTCACAGTTTTGTCTTTTAAAAGGTTGTGAGGAGATTCTGTTTGACTTTTAGTGAAACTACAGCCCCACGTGTTGCTGCGGTGCTGGCTCGTGTCCCCGTCTACGTCTCAATTTGGTGGACATCAGAGACGCTTGGCCGCTGGCTCTGTAGACCAGCTGTGGGTCACTTATATTTAGACCTGAACGGCTGCATCAGCACTGCTGTGACACCGCGCTCCTAGTACTGCGTCCAGTTCACAAGTGGTACAGTTTAGCTGGAAGAATGTGGAGCAGCGCTGAGGACCTGTGTAAGACGGATTGGGTCTCACTACATGACACGACACTGTGAGGACGAGCAGCTGTTCAAGAGCCAGGGAAAGTCCAGGCTTTGGTAGGAAACATGACCCGGAGAGACGTCACCAAGCCAAACATAGTTCACTTCCTGTGGCCACAGGACGATCCTAAACTGAGCCAAATCTGCTGCTTTTCAAATCTTATTGGCTCCGTTTATGTCACCAATCCAGGTAGAGGGGATTTCAAAGTGACAGCTCAGGTGTATGTATCTACAGTCTGTCACACTCAAACACCAACCAAGACCTACGAGGATAAATAATCCTTATAATTTGTTCATTTTCAATTGTGACCTTGCACTTTTCAAAATAAAAGCCTTGATATTCCTAAAGCTCCACCAAACACTTTAAAATAAAAATGTTTCTATGTTAGACACACAAAAAAAACAAAAACAAAAAACAAAAAAAACATGAATGAAAACCCCACTTCCTGTTTGTCTCATCTTTCATACTGTGCAAACAAAAGTCAGGGTTAGTTTCTAGTGTTCCTCAGTAAATGCTAAGACACCACTTCAGAGATAAAGAGAAAATCAACCAGTCTTTTACGTTTGGTTTGTGAAGCGTTAACCATCACAACTCTGCAATTTCCTGTTTTATGGTGTGTCAAACGGTCATCTTTGCAGACGATGGCATAATAATAGTAATAAAAAAAAGGTTTTGTTGGCATTGAGTTCTCGGCAAACTCCACCGGGGGGAAGTGAAACTAACAGTGAAAGAAGTGAAAGTGTTTTCTGATGTCAATTCAACAAAGGGTTGGCAGTTGATGGATTTTCCCGTCAACTATCACGCATGTGACTTTGTGTTTTCAAATTTCTATTTTGAATGTGAAACTCCCTTTACGCTCATGTCGAGTGTGTGCACTTTAAATTAGACAAAAGGTTACCGAAATGTTGTTCTATAGTTTAGATTTAAAAAAGAAATCAAATCCTTAATAAAGACAAAATCACAAAATAAAGTGGCTTTCGTGTATTTCAAAAGTCCTGATCGAATAAAAGAATGAAAACACTAAAACACACTAAAAGATGTGTGTGAACATGTTTTAGATTAGAAAATCAGTTTGTCAATTGTAACATCAAATATAAAAAGCCAAGAAAGGATCCTCTTCAACAGTTCTGTCGCGCTATTTAATATTAGTTTTATAGCCGTTTGCTGCCATCTGGTGGACAAGTGTTGAATTCTTTTTCCTGTCACTGCCGTAATAGACGAACCAAGACAAATTATTTGCAGTAAATAAGTAACAGTTTTGTGACCGTTTATGTGAAATTAGATAGCTTAGCAAATATGGAGAGTCACCAGAATCTTCACGGTGACTCTGTGTGTGTGTGTTTTGTTTTTATTTTTATTTATTTTTTAAAAAAGAAAGCTTTGTCTCTTTTCCACATTGCACCATCTCTAGAGTCACGTTACTTTGGTGTCCACATGACTTAATTAACCTCTGAACCTTGGAGATCCTTGAAGTGGGACCTGCAGCTTTAGACCTAAGTTTGCCCTGGGATCATCTGACCTTACGGAGTCCCTTTGAACCCTGTGATCAAAGGTAAGACAAACTGATTGATGTGACTACCATTTAGTTATATTTTTATTTACATTAGCTGTCGTTGTTTCTGTATTTTTTTTTAAATAAAAGGAGGTTTAAAGCATTAAAAAACTCCTAACACTGTTATGAGAAGCAGAAAGGTCATTCAAATGAAGAAACGACGGCGACCAGGAGATGGCGGTAACGAGCCCAAATTATTAAAGCTACCTTAAAATTTTCAGAGTAGAAAAGCAACGTGGCGGAAGTAGTAAAAATAGTTGTTGTGTTGTGATAGTGTGTGAAGTGTGAAGATAAATTCTTGTCGTCATCGCGGCCATTTATGCTACAATAAATGCAACGTTCGCGACCGCGCTGATCAAGGTTCTGTGGAGGTGGTTAAAGCTCCATATGACAACCTTAGTGTCGCACAGATATCGGCGCTGCTTCCTTCATACAGAGCCGCTGTGTGTCGCTGCTGCCCCTGTTAGCCTGCGGATGCTAACTCCACGATTGACGGCGAACCACTAAGTCCCGCTTGGCTTTTTACCCTTTTGTTTTGTTTGTCCACCATTTCCCACCGTGCAGTGAGTTATGTGGAGGATAACATTACAGGTGTTCACTGTTTCCCTCGTGGCCTGGCTTTTCGGAAGCTTTGTTTTGGGCTGGTTTCAACACCACGACGACAAACCGCCGCCACAGCGGAGCGGAGCCTCTGAATCGGGGAAGTCGGAGCAGAGCTGCCTCTGCCATGTGAGTATCAACGCCTTCCCCGCCTTGATAAACACACAGTTATCTAAATAAAAGCTCGACAGCGGTAGTGTGTGCATGTGATTTCGGGGGGGAATTAAACAGCTGTAAACAAGTTGAAGAAAACACTGCTTTGTCCAACTGAGGACATCTTCTAGCATTTTCTGTCACCAGAGTCTGACGTCACCTGCTTGTGTTTTTGTGTAGTCTCCGTCAGCATTTTTTGTTTTAAAAACCCAAGTAAAACAGAAGAAAGTAGTTTGTCATTTTCATGTAACATGTAGGTGTTTTTTTTTCACATTTTCAAAGGCATTTATAAACAAGAAAACTACTTTTTTACGTTAACTTAAAAAAAAAAGTTAAAATCGTTGCTGTTTTTAATATAATCCGAGACCAATAACTCTGACATTTCCACCATTATGAGATTTCACAGTTACCTTAAAAGATGCGTTGAAATAATATCTGGACGTGTTTTGTTAATGACTGGTCACGTGTTTGTCCATTGCCATGCCAGCCTACGGACGCTCATCATGTTTAGAAAATCGTGGTGTGCGCTGATTGGCTGACAGGCCAATAACTTCTGGGTCGTAGCGGGAGTTGAAGTCCTGCGTCAGGCGTTAGCTGCTGCTGAAGCCCTAGCATAGGACTACAGTCCGGGGGCGTGGCCGCTGTCTGTTTGTGGGCGTGGCCTCTGCCTCAGCGTGGTGCCTGGTGATGACAGCTCAGCAAACACAACAGTACCACCTGCAGCAGCAGCAGCAGCAGCAGCAGTACATTTGGAGTTACCTGAGGGCTGTGACCTGATGGAGTGTCCACCAGAGATAAAGTGGTTTTTTGTCCGAACAGTCAGAGGAGTTGGAATCCTTCTGCTTTTACTGTCGCTTGGCGAGCTGTTGCACTCAGAGGCAAGGCATCAGATGATCTCATGTGTTTTCATTCAGTTGCAGATAGAGCAAAACAATTATAATATTCAACATAAATACCTAGCATCTTTTATATATAAATATTTCTACATGAGTGTTTTTGTTTGTTTGTTTTTTTATAGTTAATTATAGTTAATTACCAACATGGGTTGGCATTAGTGCATTTCTCTGGGCCAAACATGACGACACAATTTATTCTACTTATAAGTTAGAAAAGTATTAGAAAACTAGAAAAGTTATTTGAAAACGTTTTATGTTCAGTAACCCGTTCATTATCGTGAGGTATTGTTACTGCCGTATGTTTCACCATGATTTTCCACCAATTTTGGAAAAGCTGTTACTTCTGGTAACATATGTTACGTTTACCAACAGGGGTGTCACAGGATTTTGTAACAAATTTTCTAACACACAACATATTATTTTCCATAATGTTAGTGATGTGTTATTTGTAAAATGTTGAGAATTGTTTTATTATGTATTTGGATCCATTTAAGTTTTTTTACATAAAATTATAACATTTTGTTCACCATTTTTATCCCAGGTTTTACATATTTTATACAGTTACTAATACATTTAGTATGTTGTTACAAGTATTTCTTGAAAACTTAGTTTTAGTTTAGTTTATTTTAGTTTAGTGACAAGTCATTTTTTTAAAACTTTTTTTGTAAAACATATTTAACGCTGAGTGAGTATTAAGAGAATAATGAAATGATGAAAACTATTATTTAAAAAAAAAGCGTGAGTATTAAGAGAATAATGAAATGATAAACTATTTTTTATTTATTTAAAAAAAAAGCTGATTTACATTTGGAAAAACTGTAACAGCCCGTAGTATTGTGTTGAAACTTTGTAGGCTTGTTAAATCAAACATCAAACAAATTCTGTGGTTATCTGGTTCTACTATCTGGTACATGTCAAAGCTCAGGTTCATATTTGAATATTTCTACAGGCGTATTCCAGAGACTAAAACACAGTACAAACACAAACAAAGAGCAAAGGTCTGGATTAACGTTTCACGTTTCAGCAGTAGCTCAGCATCTCCCGGGTCTTTGTCGTCCTCACTGTGGGATGTGAGTGGTTTCTCTGCTTCGTGAGGTTGCAGCAGCCGTTTGTTGGAGGCAAATAAACGTAGTTTTGCAATTTGAGCTTGTGCTGACGCAAGAGCTGCCTGTGTGCAGCTGCAACATGTGGTCCGTCCGTGTCACTGAGGTGAATCTGAATGAAGTTGTACTTCGCAAAATAAAACACTTGACCTACTCAGTCGGGCAGCCGTCATGATCAGAGATCTGCAGTTAGGATTGTACAGAGGAAAACGAGCAGGTGGCTTTGTTGTGATAGGGTGTAACACCCCCCTGGCCCCCCTCCTGGCTGCAAATGGTATTGATTAAGATCTGTGTGTGTGTTTAGATGTCCCATTAATCATTATCCTTCCTGTTTGCTCCGCCTCCAGCTCACCGGCGTCCTGGACGACTGCTTCTGTGATGTGGAGAGCATCGACGTCTTTAACAACTTCAAAATTTACCCTCGCATCAAGAAGCTGACGGAGAGGGACTACTTCAGGTACTACAAGGTAAGAGTACACACACATACACTGAATATACCATTAAGGAAGAATATTGTTCCCTTTTAATCCAAAACCTAAATATTGATTTTTTTCCTATTTTATTTTTTAAGTACACAGTCTTCTAAAAAAACAGTATTTTTTAGGTTTTATTTATACAATTATTTATTTAAAAGAAATACATTTTGGATGGGGTTGTTTTGTTTTTTTTGTTTTTTTTAATAAAACCGTTGTTCTTGCAGGTGAACTTGAAGCGTCCATGTCCTTTCTGGCCTGATGATGGACACTGCTCCATCAAAGACTGTCATGTAGAAGCCTGTCCTGAGGTCAGTGTGATGATGCGTTGACATCAAATTGTAATTTCCCCAAGGGTTTTATCTATTTATCTAGTTACGTTATGTTTTTTGGTGTTATTTTCAGAGTAAAATCCCATTTGGCATCAAGTCCGGGAACTACAACAAGGTGAGATCAGCTGACACATCCAATTTGCAACAGATTCCAAAATCTTATGATCAACATTATGCCTGAGGGAAGTAAACACTTTTTCACTTCCCTTTTCTGTGGAACTTAGGGTTAACACCTGTTCTGTTTGTAACTGATTTCTATCTCTAACTTTATAGTCAAAATTGTGAGATAAAAAAGTCAAAGAAATGTAAAAAAAAAAGAGAAAGTATAAATTAATAATGAAATATGAAACTGTATATATTAGTAGAAGTCACTCCATGAATAGAAAAAGTAAAAACATTTTTGTCTAACATTATCATTCGATGTATCCAGTCGTAGGCCAGATTTGGCCCACGGGCCACCAGTTGATAATCACTGCTCTAAATTAGATTTTAAATGTACTTCCCTGAGTGATTTCCCTGAACTTCCTTTTACTGGTTTTTAGAGTTCAGACTCGGCTGTTTCTATTCCAGGTTTTTCTGTCTGGTCTGCTGACTCAGTAAAAACACACACACACACACACACACACACACAGACAGAAGCCTTATCTCAGCCATTATCTTCCGT